GGGTTTTATAAGCAACATACAGAAATACTGTTTAAAATAAAGCATTAGTTTGTCTTGTAAAGAAATAAAGGATGAAATAAGGAGGGACACTATGAATGATTTGAGTTAAAACAAAAAGGTGAAAGAAATAAGGAAGGAGGGGCAGAGATAATGGAAAACTGGGAGTGGTATTATATGAAAATCTTGCAGTAGCAATGATATGGATAACTCTTATAATTTGTGATATTTAACCAGCCCCATAAGTAGGGCTGGGTAAAAAAAAATATCGATTTAATCGATTTTGAATCAATACCTTTACATTTTTGCAAAATCGATGTCTAGGGAATGAGATCAATTAGTTTTATAGTGATGCGTGTGACGTTCGCATTAAAATGAGCAGCAAAGATGCTCTCAAGCTACTTCAAGCCAGACAGCTGCAAATATAGCCAATAGGTTGATTGAAGACATTAACAAATAGGGGCTGACCAGAAAACACTCTGTAGTTGTAACAGACAACGCTGCACATATGGTTTGTCTGCTGTGTCACGTCTGCTCGCTCGAGCGAGGCTTCACTTTTTCACTTTTCACAAACAAGTTTGCACTTATGAGACAGTTTTGTTCACATCTCAAGTTTAAACTGTCCGATTTACAAGTTTGCACCTTGTGTTTAATATGATAGGAAAAAATAAAATACATGAGTATTTTGAAACACAGTTGAACTACTTTCATTATTGTAAAAACAGATTGAATCAAAAATTGAATCGATTCAGGACTTTGGGGTAAATACCCAGCCCTACTCATAAGTGCTTTATAAACTCTTGGATCTTTAGCATTTTGGATAAGGTCATAATGCTTAATTATAAACTTTAACACAAAAGCAGCAACATCATAAAATTATCTCTATGAGAAACAGAGTTATAGTTGACCCAGAAAAACAACAAGAAAAGAAAACTAGGAGTTTAAGGAATTGAAAACATGTGAAAAATTTGACAGTCTGGAGAACCTTAGTTTACTGAGTATAAAAGTGAGTCTTTTATTAATAATTGAACTTTTTTTTTATTTTTTTATTATCTCACATTGGAGAAATATACCTCTGCATTTAACCCACCCCCTTGGGGAGCAGTGGGCTGCCATCGTGGGGTGCCCAGGGAGCAATCAGGGGTTGAGGGTCTTGCTCAGAGAGCCAGAGTGGCTGTCTGCGGGAGTGGGGCTCGAACTCAGAACCTCAGGATTCCAAGTTCGAGCCCCACTCCCACAGACTGCCACTATGAATCCCTGATCAGGTCTAATGATAGACTCCATGTTGCTGCATCCCTACCAGTGATGATGTGATTCCATCTACTTCTATGGACTTTCAGTTTACCAGCATACCTGCTGCTTGGTGCTCTTATTGGGCTTCACAGAGTAGTGGATGTCCTTCATGGCTCGCTCGATGAGGCTGACGGTGTAAGGCCTTTTAGTATCTGGATTCACACACTTCTCTGCCACGATGGAGGCAATGTCTCTGAACATGGTCTCCAGTTGGCTCTGCCTCTCCTTATCAGAGACCTGAAGTTCCCCTTTGGCCAAAATCTGCCACACAGGGAGACAAACCATTTAGCAAAGCTTTTGGTTAAAATTGTTAACAGACATCTGGTGGTGGAATGTCATGTTTTCTTTACCTGTCTGCAGATTTCAGTCTGATCATCTGTGCCAAAAGCTTTTACCAAATCATCCTTTTTCGCCATCTGACCTTTAGAAACATTCACAAAAACAGAGTGTGTCTGCAGCACCTCGTCTAGGTCTTTCTCTCTGGAAGAAAACAACAAACCTCAAGGTCAACCAGACATTTTGATTTTACCCAATACAGATAGTCCCGTTTGTTGCGCCGATAAAATCAGCGAAACATGCAGGAAAATAACGTTTTTAAGTGACTCACGCTCCAGATCTCCAGCTAACGACTTTATTTTTGTAACACGCGATTTCAAAGCGCTTCCCTCCTTTCTTCATCCGAACCACCGCCACGTTGGTCAGTCGGATCTGATTTGTTGGAGTAAATATAGACATGTTTCTGTTTGATAAGACACCTGAAAGTGTCTTCAACTTGCTACCAAAGCGAATGACGCGAATCCACGGCGGTGTGTCTACTGTCCGGGTCCGGTAAGAAACTTGGATTTGATAAACACTGTTCCGACCACCTTACTGTTTCGACTTCAACCAAAAGGAAATTGCTTATAAAGCATGATTTTTGATTAAAATAACAGCAAAATAAAAATAAATATAGATATAAGATGAAAAAAAACACTAAGAAGTCATTATTACGTAATAGACTACGCTTCTTATCAGGGAAATGATCAATCAATCTGAACCTATGGATTTTTCTTTTATGACTTCTTGTCTTCTTAAAAGACAATACATCCATATATAGAAATATTACTTTAGAACCAAACAATTTTCTGTAAAATCTATTCATAAAAGAAGAGCAAATTACTTTTTTTTTTTTATCTTTTTTTTTTTTGTATGTGTGTCTGCTGCCCTCGTGTGGCTGTGTGGAAGAAATGCATCTTGTAGTTGTACATTTGTGTTGGTTCAATTATATTAAATTATATGTGATTATTGATCATGCCAGAATTAATCTATTTTAGGTACTTTAATTATTTACTGATAAAATTCACCTTGGCCTAATAAGTACTTTATTCTAAATAGTACTTTGACTGGTTAGTTGTTCAAATGAGCTCAAATTATGCTGCAAACATAAAAATAGAATAGAATAGAATAAGATAAAATAGAGCAGAATATAATAGAAATAATCATTACCAGCAATCATGACAATAATAACAATATTTTTAAGAATTATATTTATGTGTTCCCCCAAAATAAATAAATACAAATAAAACAACCTGCATGATTGTTTTAAAGACATCCAATTTATATGATTGTTTAAATACATCCGTTTGAAATTGGTAGAGTTTCAACGACTTTTTAATCTCTTCTTTTTTAATTTTAAAGTCAACACCTAATCTGCAACCAAGAAACATCTTGTCTGCAAGATGCTATACATTATTGGGCCACCAGAGGGCAGCAACGTATATAAATGTTCTTTCCAGACTCCAAAATTTCACTAATTTGTGGTAAAAATGATTTCGTTCACAGCTTTATTTCAAGAATGTGAAAGAAGGGACTATATGAAGCTGATCTTGAAATGAAATCCGTGATAATTTAAAGGAATTTAACGAAAAACATTTGGTGCAACAGTTCATCTAATGTCCACGGGAGAGCAGCAACAATGGCGTACTATTTGATTTGCTGTAGCTTCTCCATCTAAAATAAACATGTTTTTAATATTATGTCGTATCACAGACGTTAGTCAAACTAATGTATTAATAAATTAAAAATAATATTTCATAACGTTTATTATTATTATTATTATTATTATTATTATTATTATTATTATTATTATTATTATTATTATTATTATTATTATTATTAGTATTATTATT